ACTGCAAACTCCTTACCTCCACCAATCATCAGACCAAATAGGCAGCTGAGATCCTGTCTCCACCCGCCTTATGATTCCCGTCTCCACCTCCCTGGTGCTTGGATTAATGGCGTGCACCACCACCACTGCCTGGATCTGTTTCTCTTTGAGACTGGATTGATCTTGTGTAGCCCAGGATGGCCTTGAACTCCTGATCTTTCGGCTTCCTCCTTCCAAGTAATGGGATTAAAGGTGTGTGCCACCACTGCCTGGCCTCTATGGTTAATTAGTGGCTAGCTCCGCCCTCTTATTGTCAGGCAAGCTTTATTTGTCAGAACACAAAGAATCGCACAACATTCTATCTCATGCCCTAGATCCTGCTGAATCTCTTTTGCTGCTAACCAGTCTGGACTTGACTCCCCACCATAAACTGACTGATCTTCCTCAAGTCCAATAGTTCTACTTTCCAAAGTGAGTTTAGAGAGCTTCCCTTGCATAGGACCTTAAAGTCCCCTTCACAGTATTCTTTCATCATTTGCTCCTTTCTTTCCTCCTCAGTTGTAGTTTTTTTTTTTTTTTTTTATACACGTCTCGCATTTGCTACACTGTTATGTACTGCTTACTTTCCTGGAGCTTTCTCTTTGATCACTCCTGTGTCCCGGCCACCTTGCATGGCCTTTCCAGCTTCTCAGTCATCCTCACCTCTTTCCTTTTTGCTCATTCTTTTTCACTCTAACTCTTAGAGTAGATATAATGTCTTCTGGGAGTTTCTTCAGATCCTTCAAATCTAATTAATGTTCCTCAGCTTTCTTCCTCATATTGCATTGCTACACCTTTAACTGCCTCTTCCTTATTTGACCTACTGTAAGGGTCCATGAAAGCAAAGATATATCTCTTCACTTGGGGACACAGCTTCTATTATGTGCCTGGTGTAGTCTACACTCTTAATAGACACAATGAATAAGTAAATGGAAATAATTGATGAGATTGTTCTATTTTCCTTGATAAACTTAGGAAGTCTTTCGGGAGAGCCATGCTGTGGACATTGTTCAGTATATTAGACACATTTGATTCAGAAGTCATCCCTGCGCTTCATCTCATGGAGGATCACTCAGACTTAGAGAGACCATGCATATTTCCCTTACCCATGACTACTTTCTGAGAGTCATGATTTACATCAGTGGTTCTCAGCTGGAGCCACGTTTGCCTCTCAGAAGTCTTTACCAAAAGTAGAGAAGCTTTGTTTGCTATAGATGCAGGGTGCAGGTGGGGTTATGAAGCCGCTGTAGTATTTAGAACCCAGGGATGTTACTACTGCACAGGAGGGTGCCACAACAACGATCCAAAATGCTGTGGGGGGATGTTGGGAAAACTCACTCTCTGTATATTCAGACACGATGCACAGAATAAATTGTTCTAGGTGGTTGTCATATTGCAGCCTCCCGAGACCAGTGGATTTTACAGGATCTTGCATATTACTTGACCACAGTAGAAAAAACAACAACAACAAAAAAAGGCAAATCAAGCAGCCAAATGTTACACTGTATTACTGCACAGGAGCTGTTTGGTACTGCATCTTAACTCATTAACATTTAAAAATTGTTATGCGGCAGAAAAATAATTATGTCCTTTAACTGTTGAAACAGAATCCATTTTTCCAAGCATACTTTTTTTAGGGGCAGAGTGCTGAAACACCAACTGTTTTACAAGTACAGTAATCACACTGCTGTTGAGTTTATTGTGTTTTGTTAAGACACACTTTATAGTGTGGAAAATGCATTTTAAAGTCATTTTTTTTTCTAGACCCAGTTATGGAAAGAATTTTATTTTTTAAAGTGAAAATTTTAGCTGCATAGTGACCCTCTCTGGAATATGAAAGTGTGGTGCAGGTGGTCTCTGGGGAGTTCACTATCCAAGTGTTTGTCATTCCTATAGATTGAGCCTTCACGAAGAGATGAAACAGTTACAGAAGCAAACTGGGAAAGGCAGAAAAGTTAAGGGGTCCCAAAGACCTGAATCCCTTAAGAAGAGTGGTAAAATCTGTTCACAATGAGTAGTTTGGTTATGGGTTTCATTTTCTATTCCCATTACCTGGTAAGACCTTAGTTCTTGGCCTGGCTTCATGGTTACCTTATCTGGAGTTTTGAGGGACTTTCCAATCACTGTAACAACTACAATATTTTTTTCTGATGAATAAGTAGTGTTCATAAGAATCCATAAGATGTTAAAAAGGACCAACTTAGAAAACGTTTAAGAGAATTTGTCTTCTGAAGCAAATACGTCTTACTGTAAATGAGGCTTTGAATTGTGTGTCTCTAGAAGATGGAGACTATTTAGAAGGAAGCTGTGATGAAGTGGGCTCTGTTGCACCTCCCCAGTTCACAGGCTTGGTGTGAGACACCTGGGACCTAGGATCTGTTTTGTCATTTTATTCTGTCTCTTTATGAGGTCCTTGAAAACTCACAGTCCCTACACCAACAGGTAACATCTATAATCAAAGCTGTGCTTTGCTGAAGATAAATTGTGATTCTGTTGTCTCACACAACCCAGTCTTCACTTGTCTTTCCCAGGCTTGAAAATGACCCAGTATGAATTAATATGTATCATTTGTAGGTGGGATTCATTGTAGTCTAGGTAAATGCAAGAAAAGTCTATAGAGAGGACTGTGCAGCTGTTCTCTGTGTTCTGCCAACCTAACCTGAACTTGATCATCCTGTTGGCCTTGGCCTCTTTATATGGTCCTGAATGGGTTAATCTGGCTGCCTTCCAGCTTCCTGCTGGCAAGGGTACTGCCCTCTCCCCTCCTCTGTGTGTGTGTGTGTGCGACAGTGGGGGTGGGCAACAGTGGCTCCAGAAGTTTACTTTGGAAACATATAAATTTGCTTTCTCCTATGACATAATTGAGCAATAGCCGGACACAGTACTAATCCTTGATTTCCCTTCCTTTAGAAGTTGCCAGTGGTGTCTCACTATGTTCTGATGTAGTTTGTAGCCTCACGTTCACTAGATTCCTCACTGTGGGTGTGGGGCAAGGCGCAGCAGACTGCTGTGTTATTAATATAATATTTTCCTACCTTCGACATTTCTGTGTTCTTGAGAGAGGATTATGTGACTTAAGTTTGTATAGTCACAATTCAACAAGGGCTCCTAGACTCATAAAGAGGTAAACTCTGATCATCAGAATAATAAAAGGTGGTAAACTTATTTTTTAAAAAAATATCTCAACTATGGAAAGCCCCTAAACTAAGCAAATAGATTTTGAAATGGATGTATTCCACTATGAGTTATATTCATTTTAGAATGGAGATACTTATTCAGTACTATACACAGGGATATAGTTCTTTATATTAGTTCTTGATTATAAATGTTGGGTTTATAATATTTGATCTATGCAGAAATTGGAAAATATAAATACTAAATGGCGATGCTTATGTATTGCTATATTCTCTTCAATAACTTATTACGATGATTTCTTCTGAGGATATGAAAACGTCAATACCATCTCACTCAGTAGTCTGACATAAAAGGCAGAGTTAAGTGTAGGTCACTAGTATGAGAAATTGGATGCATTTTTTCTTTTCAATTTCAATACTATTCGAAGTCTTCTTTTGTTTATAAGAGCCACAGTTTTATGACTCATGAAAAGCATAAGAATACGTTTGTACTTAGAAGTGACTTTTGCTTAGGATATATGGAGCTCTAGAGAGGAGACAGTACAACTTTTGCAGGGGCAGGTGTGGGAGCACTCAGGAACACAGGTGAGCTCAGGTTAGTGCTGCCTCCGACGAACTAACAGTCTTAAGGCTCCACAGTATCCTGGTTGTTCTACTGGGCAGAGTGCCAACTTGGTTAAACAAACATAATGGGAGCCACACCAAATTATAGACTTGAGTTCATGACGTGGCCTTTTGACGTTCAATTTACATCAATAAAAGTAGTACATCAACTAAGTGAATATAATCACATTTTAGAAATAGTAGTACTCCTTTTCCTCTCTGGTTGGGGTTTGAATTAATTTAAAAATTTAGCTTCCCCCCTGAAGAATTAGTATCGCCAAACTACACCTGTCTAAGGAAAGTGCTTTCGAAATAATCTCATTGTCAGTGTTTTAATTTCAAGAGTTTCAGAAGTGTTTAGTGAGTGTTCCCTACACATGTATTTACTCCAGACAAATGTGGTCACATGTGGACATTGCTTTGCTATGTCTAACAAAATAGATGGAGTGAAAAAAAATACACTATGAAACATCTCAATAAAGTAGCATGTTAAGTGTGCTATTTGAGGGAACAGTCCTTCAGATGGCAATTCAAGATATGTGACAAAGCAAGAGCTTCATTGCCATGACAAAGCAGGATTTCTACTTACATCGGAGGAATGTGTGGGCTTTCAATAGTACAGGAAAATGAGTTTCTAGGTTTAAAGTGGCTGAGTGCATGGTGTGTGTGGTCTGTTTGGAGGACACTGCTGAAGGGAATCCAAGGGTTCTGAGAATATTTTGCAGCTACTTCAGCCAAAGTAGGTTGGACTCTTGACTGCAGAAAATCTTGAACAACAAGCCATGGAGTTTAGCATCTTAATTTTTATTTTATTCTGAGTTTTGTTTTCTCCCCTCTGAAGATCTTTCAGATATCCTCTGCCCAGTTGAATGCTTCCCATAACCTTGTGCATTTTGCCCTCTCCTTGTGGATTAGAGTGTGTGTTTAGAGAAAGTTTACAACTCACCAAATGAAATGAAGTTAGGACTCCATGTCAGTAAGAAACAATGAAATTATTTTTCCCCTAATCTAAACCAGGCTGATAACATATCCTTCCCAGGAATGAGCTCACTAACTACAGGCACACCGTTCTCCAGAAATCATTGTCTAAACATACCACTCCATTCACCCAGATCTCGTATGTGCACAGTACTGTTCCCATGTTTGCTTTGTCCCACAGTTAACTGTGCATCGCACCTGCCGTCAATCACCACTCATATGTGTATCTCTTCATTGCCATTTAAAGGTCTTCAGAAAGTGACTTACATGTTTTACTTCTCCTCCTCCTCCTCCTCCTCCTTCTTCTTCTTAAATCACAGGTGAAAATCTCCCTTTAGAAATAAAGAAGGATATTAACTCTATTTTTTTTAAAGACATGCCTCCTAATTTAAAACAGTAAGACAAAATTATGGTTTGTTCCAATTTATAATTTCATTTCTTTAAGAGTTCATCTTCACCGTGTGGTGGTGGCACATGCCTTTAATACCAGCACTCAGGAGACAGACCCAGGTGGATCTCTGTGAGTTCGAGGCCCGCCTTGTCTACAGAGTGAGATCCAGGACAGGCACCAAAACTACACAGAGAAACTCTGTCTCAAGGAAATTGAATAGCTATGGAAATAAAACAGGACTTGGTATCCCAATAAACCTACAATTCAAAAAAAAAAAAAAAAAAAAGACAAACAAACAAAAAACAGTTCATCCTCAGGAAGGGACAATCAGTATTTTTAAGAAAAGGGACCTCATGATCTTATTGACTACCTTCGAAAGGTAGGAAAAAAAGATGGGTATGGCGGTGCATTCTTGTAATCTTAGCACTTGGGAGACTGAGGCAAGAGGATCATGACTTTGTAGGCAGTATGGGCTACAGAGGGTGTTCTAGGTTAGTCTCACCTATGTAGTGAGATGCTGCCTTAAACAATGAGTAAAAATAACAGAAAACAAAAACAAGAATGTAGATCCTATGGATTATAATTTGGCAAGGATAAGGTAAATTCAAAACAAACTTTTAGAATGACTCATTTAACTGTAGCTTGGTGAGGATTTAGAAGTTGAGCACTTGACCATTAGTTGACATGCTAGAAACAGCAACAGCTGTTCCCTGATTTCATCGCCTACTTTCCATTTTCAGACTGTTTTCTTCAATTCACTTATTCTCTCTCTCTCTCTCTCTCTCTCTCTCTCTCTCTCTCTCTCTCTCTCTCTCTGTATGTATGTATGTGCGTTTGGGAGCATGTGCACATGCATATGGAAGTTGAAGATCAACATCAGGTGTCTTCCTTAATACAGTTCCACTTCATTTTTAGAGACATAGTCTCTTGCTAAACAGGAATCCCATTAACTTGGCTACCTTGTCTGGCTAGTGAGTTCTGAGATCCCCTTATCTCCACCTCCCTGGTGGGGATATAGATGCACACTACCACATCTGGCTTTTAATATGCATGCTGGGGATCCAAATTCAGGTCTTCATGCTTACCCAGCCAATATTTTACTGACTGAGCCAGCTCCCTTGAGACATACTCAACTCTGTACTAGGAATAGCACCAAGAATAAAAATTACATTCCCAGAGAGTTGTATAGATCCTGTCCCAGTGGAGGTTATGACTCCCTGTGAAAAATGTACCTAAACAAAACTGCAGCCATCCAATAAAAGCACTCTGCAGAAGTAAACACACAAAGACAAAAGCAGGGAAGTTAAGATGCTCCTACAAGGCACTACAAGGAAAAGGCATGAGTAAAGGACACATGGAGAGATCTACATGTGCAGATGCTCAAGCTAATTTGTACATTGAAAATTGTATGTTATTTGGTCTCCTGTTATAGTGGGATGGTTTGTGGTAGCACACAAAGTCAACATTTCTTAGGTTCAACAACAGTAGAAATTTCTTTCTGGCTCTATTCATTATTGGGCAGTATTCAGTAGGCAGGCGTGCCCTGCTTTTTGTAGTCATTCAGGAACCTGGACTTACTCTGTCATCCCCTTCAGTAGATGTTCTCAGCCTTGCCGTGACTGACATAGTCTGCTGTGGGATATTGAGTTGTGCATCGTGGACTGTTTTTCAGAATTACTGAACTGTCTTCCCCAGGTGCCAGCAATATCTCCCAGTTGTGGCAATCAATACCATCATTTTTAATGCTGTATTTTCTCAGGGGAGTGATAGCTACTGGTTTGGAGCCTTATTGCCATCTGCATTAGCAAAAGTATATGAATGAAACCTCAGGTTCAGGAGTAGCAGGTACATCTCCTCTCATTGCTCTGGAGTGATGGAACTCAGGAGGCTGTATATACCTTTAAGAGAGCCAGGAAATGTAGTCCAGTCTCGTACTCAGTTATAATCTTGTTATTATAGGAGGGGAAAACCCCCTAGATTTTGGTGGAGCACCAGTGGCCTCGGATACACGGTTCAAGCAAGGAAAGTCTTCAAGTATGCTCAAGCTCAGGACTCGGTGGATTCTGCTAGCTTGCTGTGCTTGGCAGAACAGCCTTGCCTTTGGACCATTCTCTGCTCACATTTGTTTCTGACTGTGGATGGACAGAATCTCCATAGGCCAAAGGCTTGTTTAAGGTCTCCATAATCCTGAGGAAAATTTCAAAAGAGTATAATTCGGCCCTCTCACACGGACTGAAAATTGACTTTGAATATGTCTGGCTTTAACTACTGCATTTTTAAAGGTATGTGGAGAAACCAGTACTAGCCTGGAGGAAAACAACAAAAATCATTAGAGGGAAAGGAAACAGGCCCTCCAAAGGAGATTAAAAGATCTTTGGATATTTAGCTGGTAAACATTTCTTGTTATATAAAGGAGCTCATTTTTTTTAAGATGAAGATGTAAAATTATTCCTCATGGAAAACTAAAGTATAATACTCATATAACTATTAGAGTGGGCAAATTTTTATTTCAGTCTGAGTGAAGAATTTAAAGTTCATGGCAGGAAAATACTGGAGGGGACAGGGAGACAAGGAGAGGGGAGGGTAAGGACAGGGGAAAAAGAAAGGGAGAGAGAGACACAGAGAGGGGAGGGGAGGAGAGATCCTTCTTGATAGTGTAAAAAGGTGAGAGCTGGCCTGAGGCATCACTCTCTAGTGACCATGTCTCCTTTCTTAGACCATGGCATGTGAGGAGATGAAACTGAGTTGAACTAATATCTCCATCCGTCCAGAAGGTTCATTTGAGGAAAATAGGAGTTGGATTACACTGACCGTTCTAAGGGGGTTGATTGATTGTTTCCTGATTCAATTACTTGGGGGCTTGAAATTCATTCAACAAATCCCTACTCAGAATTTTTGTTAGTGAAATTTTTCCTTGTGGATGTTTTTCTCAGGTTGGCTATGGGGCACACTCTAAATGCTTGTTTTTTTTTTTGTTTTTTTTTTTTAATGTAGGAAAGATAATTGCCTAAATTAAGTTGCTTGTCCAATTCTAGAGAAAGGTCTCATCTTACGCTTGCTTATAAAATCACATGCCAGAACTTTGAAATCCAGTTCTACTCCACTTAGCAGGTTCTCCTGAGCCTGGAAGCCTGCTCCTCAGACCTGTTCTTTCACCTGGAACTAAGATTCTTATTAAGAAACGGACTGACCCACCATTGGAAAACATCCCTCTCCAGGGCGTAACTTGGCACTTAAAGACCTGTGCAGAGCAACAGGATGTGACAATTTAGGACATGAAAACAATGGTATATATTGTCTTTCAATAGAGTTTGACATGATAGAAGCAGTGTGAAGGCCAAATGTAATTTTCCAAGGCCACCTGTTCTTTAAGCACTGAACAATGATTTTTCCTAAACACTGATAGTAGCGGTAATTAAAGCAAGCAAGGGGGACTCAAGGTTTTCTTTATCTGAAAACATAGTAATGGGTAGCCACTTTACTTCTTTAAAAGTTTGGCAGAAGCATGGGCACACGTGAGACAGGCTAAAGTTGAAGACTGTAAGCTCAGTGGGCTAGCTTGTTATTTAGGATATTAACTCTCCAGTGACTGTGGCAGCATCTGGCTTTTAAGTGGAGAGAGGCAAGTAAGTCATGGGGGAAAGCTACCACATGAATGGTAGGAGTCCATAGAAGTTTGAAGGCGTCCTGGTAACAGATTCATTGCTAGTTCCTGTGTCCTACTCTGAATGCTCTCAATGTCTTTCATGCACCAGAAGCACAGATACTGCTCAGGGCTTTCCCCAGCTCCCTTTCCTCCATAGATACTTTAGATATTCCATCTCAAGCTCCACTACTTTGAATTGTCAAGCATTCTGTTTTCTCTTTTCTACTTATTCTGAGGAATAACTGTTTTCCCTCTCCTTATTTAGGTCTTCATTCAGTGTCATATGAAGTATACCTGCCAGTAAGCTATTGGTGAAATTATTAAGGCCACTTCACATAGTTAAAAGGGAGGTTTGTTTTGTGGGGTAACTTACAAGTGAAGGGATAGGTTGCAGGGTCTGGTGTGGCGCAGTCCGGCGGTGTTCTCTGGAGAACTCTGCTCCGTCTACCTTCAGTGACCAGGGTCCAGGAACCAAGAGAGCCAGCGCATCCCGATCTTAGGTCTTCAGGGTCTTCTCTCGCCAGCCTTGTAGGTGTGACAGTTACCGAAGCCTCAATGGGGGGTTGGAACTTCCAGATCAAAGCTGAAATGGCTACCCACTACAGTAAGCTTGTATTTTTAACTTGTATTTCCTTTTTCTTTTTGGTTTTTCGAGACAGGGTTTCTCTGTGTAGCTTTGCGCCTTTCCTGGAACTTACTTGGTAGTCCAGGCTGGCCTCGAACTCACAGAGATCCGCCGGGCTCTGCCTCCCGAGTGCTGGGATTAAAGGCGTGCGCCACCACCACCCGACTTGTATTTTCAACACTTTTCTTTCCCCAGCCTCTGGGATGCAAGGTGGAAAATCACCCAGACTCTGCAAGCACATTGTTTTCCAAATTCCTTTGCTTCCTTTCTAACTCCCATCTTAATGTTTTCATGTCCATTGCTTCACCCCTCAGTTTGCTGCGTGGAAGTTTTAGGTGGTGCCACATTCAGCTCCCACTGCTTTGCCCAACTGTTCTTTTCCCATTCTTTAATGTTCCCTGAGTGGTTTATGTTTTGGTTCAGTCATTTCTTCTCATGACTATCTTTTCATACTGGCAACATCCGGCCCACGTGCCTGGTTAAAGAATGGCGATGGTCTTCTTGCCACGTGCAGCATCTTCCGCTGACTAACTCCTACAGCAAACCTCTAAGTGCAGACTGCTTCAGACTGCAGCGCGACCTCTCCCTCACATCTCTTCCGGTTCTCGGTTCTCGACTTCCGGCTCTTCTAGCCACCCACTTGCTGAGCTCTCTGTGGCTTGCATCCACCACTCTCCCACCGTCCTTCTCTCTAACTCTCTTGGCGAATGCTTCACTAAAGTTGTTACCATTTTACTAGATTTCTCTACGGCCTTTCTGCTATGTATAGTTCTCTTTCTTAATTATTTTTCAGTCTGCTACCAAATAAGATTTCTACATTTTTGTCCCCCTGCCCTGACAAATTTCAATACACCTTCCCTATAAATTGGGTAGAAAAAAAAATTCCCTTAACTTGGAACTGAAGTCACTCTTCTTTGCTGCAGTAGGAGAGACCCTTACCTTCTTATGTGTCTTTAGGAGACTGACTTAACTACATGAAATCAGGAAAAGGAAATTTGGATTGACTGAGACATTTATTATCCTTTGACTCTTCTGGCTGCAACACTGCCTTTCATGAAACACTTTCTTTTTGTAGCCCACTAGGTTCCCTAGTGGCTGTACCCAGCAGGACTGCATAAGAGGCTGATTGGACCATGGGTCTAGGTACCAGGTGTTTGTAAGGGTCTACACTTGACTGTAACTAGCAAGGGGGAGGTCTTTTGCTCCACCCCTTGGCATTGTTATAAATAGACCTTTGGAAAAAAGTTCTGGGCCTGTTTGGATAGGATCCTTCCTACCTGAGTCTATCCTGTATTTTCTCTCTGTTTCTCTCCCCTCTATTTCTAAGTCTCTTATTCCTCATTCCTCAAGAGTTCCTGGGGTAAACAAACGTGGGGGTTGGTCTTCCAAACTCTCTAAACTCATTGGTCATGGAGTTTCATTTGGAATTGATGCTAATTTGGTAAATATCCTCAGGTTTATTGCTTTCTTACTGTTTGCCTTCAACCATTATTCTATCTTATTGAAGCAACAATTATTAAAATTCTTTTAAAAGTAGAAACCAAAGCATATTCTAATATAAATATAAAGCACAGCATATTTAAATATAAAACAGAGCCTTCCTGCCTCTTGCTGCCTCTATTTGAAATGAAAACTGAAGCAGAGATAATCGCTCTCTTTCTAGTAGAATTAACAATGATAAAAGCCATCCATGATACTTATATTACCTTCAGACAATTTCCCCATGGATAGTCTGAGTTATGATTTTAGTTACCGCTTTATTTGCATTTAGAAACCCATTAATCCAAAAACTAGATGATGCTTGGGTGTGTACGCAGCTTTCAGCACACTGTTTTGAAATGGGTGCTTACAGACACAGAAAGACAGCAATCGCTGTTGCTTCACCAGCGCTTATGTGCTCTCAATTACCAAATTTTCTAACCAGACAAACCCAGAAATATAACTAGCAGTTCTGCTTTGACTCAAATTACATTAAACATTCAGTTCTCTATGCTTTTTGGTAGATGGGTTGAAGTTACTGCTTCAAGTTGTCACTCTTTGAAAATGTACTTGTCCTAGGTTGCTGATGTCTTGGTTAGGAGTTCATATCCTGGGAGAGGCTTACAATGGAAGCTGAAGTGTATCTGATTCAGCCCTGAGGCAGAAAAACTGGATGAAGCAGTTTCTCCCCCTTCCCCTTTCCAGACCGTGTGATTTGTACAACAACTTTGGCTTTGCAAACAGGGAAGTGTCAGAGTCAAATCAGCCTTCCTCCAAAGGTGCTGTGTGCCTGTTTCTCAGCTCAGTGATACTCAGGTCCAGGACCATTTTATTTCAAGTGGAATACACACACCAAGCAAACATGCTCAAGGTCAAGTAGATGTGTTCTTTCAATTCTACTGCAAGAACCATTTGCTTCGTTCAGAAACTCACTCATGCTTCAAAACAGTAAACTCTATGGGAAAAAATGTTCAGAGAATCATTTAGAAAAACTATATGACATTATATAATCAATCAGTATCTATGAGATAATAGAATACGGCAGGGGAGGGTGCTGCCCTGGTTTACCTTCCCGAGACACGGTTTGCAATGTACTCACTGGATGGCCAAGTTTCTAAGGCACAAGGAAGTGAGCAACTGAAGCAAGTGACTGTATAATTCAAGCAGCGTTTCCTGCCTCTTTTCAATGAACTCAGTATTTCCAGCAGCACCAAGCATGGCTTCTTCATGGGTCAAACAGGTCTAAGACATTTGGAGTATGTCTTTGTTTTGTATTTTCTGTTGGTAGACTGAGTGAAAGGTAAACCGATGCACTTTTTTTTTTTGTGTGTGGCATTTTGTGGGAAACAGTATTCTTATCACTGACTTTGCTTTTGCAGTTTGGTCTAGCTTATTTCTAAGTAAACAAGACTTGGCAAATGGGTAG